GAGAGAGAGAGAGAGAGAGAGAGAGAGAGAGAGAGAGAAAGAGAGGGGTAGATGAGAAGGGTGAAAGGTGTAGTTTTGTTGTCGTTTTATTTATTTTTTTGGTAAGTGTTTTACGGCTCTTGCAGCCCAATAAGGTCATATAAGTGCAAAAGATTGAAAGTGTTACAAGTGCGTAACAAACAACAAAAACTGAGGAGAAATCAGGACGACCGCAGGTGTTTGATACAAAAGAAGAAAATCACACCATAGCACCCTCAAACCACCCTCTTGGGAGGAGTGAGTGCAGAAATAATAGAAAGTTTAAAAAGGAAATAGAGATAACAGAACGAGAGTTAATCCGGCGAGTGAATGGCAGACAGACTGGTTGGCAGACAGGTAACTTGGGAGGGGGAGAAACATTTTTGCGTTTGTGTCGCAGACAACAGGGAAATTTTTTAAAAATTAAAAAGGTGTCAAACGAAGAGTGACAGATTTAACCCTTTTGAAATAAGCAGAAAAGCTTCCGCAGGCTCGATTCCAACTATCATTCAAATTGGCTTTGTTATTTGAAGTCGTACACTCAGTCCAAAAACATTAACGCTAAGACCCACATTCGTGATTGGATCCGTCAATCCGTACCCGCGATTCTGAGCCACTTCCCTTGCCTCTTTGACAACGCGGGTGGTGGTCCCATGACGATTTGACGTTGTTTGTGAGAGCTAATTCGGGATTCATTTGATCTGGACGAAACGACTGTGGGTCTTAGCGTTAATCTTTTTGGTCTAATAGGGTTTGATGGACCTTTTACTTTTATTCTATATATTTTTTAAAGATAATATAATATTGCCTGGTTGGTCGATTCGCTCTGTTATGTGATGTGGGCTGCCTTTTCTACCCCTCCTCAGGTTTAAAAAAAATTCTAACTCATACAATCTGACTATGGCAACATGTGTCCGTGGTCGCACTATTTAGCCCGCCTTCTAAATGATCTTCCTTGTGAATTATGTCAGTTGGCGTGTTAAACATTCTCCTACTTTACAATGTATGTAAAATTGCTGACAGTAGGTTTGAGACCGAGTTGTACTTCGGATTTGAAATGTGACGTAATAGAATGCGGCCATGATGAAACGTTGGAGAGGCAGCTTCCTGGTGGACACTTTTTCCCATTTGCCCTCCGACACTGTTATCTCGTCTCGCTTTGACTTCTCATATCGATTTTGCGTCACTACTTTTCTCCCCATCTCAGTAAAAATTATGTGCCCTTCCTGATAGAATTGTACCTTTTATTTTCATTTTTTATAGATTGCAGAACCAAAACAAGACCAATTATTCCCTGGTATAATGGCTGCTTGTTTGTATTCGTGTGTTTAGAAAAATACTGCATCTAGCTATATAAGTGGACATTACATCGTTTACCCCCCCCCCCCCCCCAAAAAAAAAAAATCCAAGAAAGAAAACCAAAGACATTTTAAAGTACAAGATTTTTAAAAAGTCTTTTTTTAAAAAGACACAAAGGGCCGGAAAACGTCAGAAAAATGTGTGACGGAGAGAACAGCCATTTGTTTTATTCGTTGTTAAAGACAAACCAGGCGACAATCGCCAAATTTGAACAGATTAGCTTATTAGAACATTATTATTAGCTAAAAAGAAGTAAGGCGCTGACAAAACTAGAGGACCCACCAACCACCCGCAGATGTGACAAGTTACACTAATGGCGTTCTCCAACTATCATAAGCGAATTTCAGTAGTGATCGAGCGAAAATCGTTTAATAATTTAGAAAGGCAGTAAATGGGAACACTGAAATACTTTCAAGAGAAGTTAGAGTTGATAAGGGTCTAATATTGCTATAGGAAATTGAAAGTTATAGATCACGATTTATGCGGACTTAGGATATATCTTTATTTCAACAAAAACAAAAGAGAAATCACAATCGAGGGGACTGCAATAAGGTACAAAGTAGGCACAAAGTTTGCGAATAAACTCTGAGAATTTCTTCCTGGTCTTCTATTCGTGTGACAAAGACTAACGTGTTCATATAATCAGATTATGCCGGGTGCAACGGTGCAGGTGTTTGTGTATGTGTGTGTGTGTGTGTATGTGTGTGTGTATGTGTGTGTGCGTGTTTGTGTGTGTGTGTGTGTGTGTGTGTGTGTGTGTGTGTGTGTGTGTGTGTATACGAGTCTGCACGTGCATACGTATGTATGAAGATGGAGGTGTATCTCTTGCCTTCTCCTTGACTATGAGTACCCTTGCTAAGAGATGCAATATACCTTTGTAAATGAATGTTGTGTACTGCACGTGCGAGGACAAGAGCACTTGTGCCGTGCGTGTGTTTGTGTAGGCGCGCGTGTGTGTGTGTGAATGTGTGTGTATGTCAGTGTCTCTCTCCATGTTTGAGCACAAGTGTGTGTTTGTGTGTGTTTGTGTGTGTGTGTGTGTGTGTGTGTGTGTGTGTGTGTGTGTGTGTGTGTGTGAGAGAGAGAGAGAGAGTATGAGGGTGGGAGTTTATGTTTTAATTTTCCCAGAATTCTCCTAACAGTAAAAAGAAGCACTGTTGGCAAAAAAACCACCGTACAGACAAGTAGAACATATTCTGCCCCTTAGCCGTGGAAATATAGATCTAAATACTTCAAGAAGTCTGAACCAAGTTATGTAAGACCATCTTTTGTTTTAAGATAAATAATTATTTCTTCCAGCAAACCGTTCAGTTCAGGAGCCATTCTATCTATCTATCTATCTATCTATCTATCTATCTATCTATCTATCTATCTATCT